TGTGGCCGCACGGCCAGCACCCATTCTCACGGCAGCTCCTAGCCCCAGCGCGGGGAGTGGGTTTGCTGCCGCATCGCCTGTTTGGAGTGCTTTTCTAGAACTGTGGGGGGATTGTTCTGAGTTTACAGCCAGCGTTCTTTGGGGCCAGGATGTGGCCTCAACCAATGTGCTGGGGAAGGGGCCAGCTCGGTGTGGCCTCCCTGAAACGTGGTGGCCCCAGCAGCAGCCGTTTGCTCTCAGTCTCACAGGGAAGCAGCGCGGAGCAGGCGTCGGGGGTGACCTGCGCACAGAGCCGCTGACTACCATCATGGCTGTGCCTGTGGCCTCGCTCCCTCCCTGGCGAGGCCAGTTCCTCTCCATGAGGCCAGCACCATCCCCCGCGGCACACATTGGAAGCTGCCAGGCTTCCCGACCATCCGGAAGTGACACCGTGTCTCTCCCACTACATTCTGCTGAGAAGCAAGACCGAGCGCCAGTCTTGATTTGAGAGGGGACTGTGAGGGCCAAAATGCTGGGACGTGGCTCTTAGGGTCACCGAAGAGGTGCTCTGGCCTCAGCTTTTTATCAGAAAGTGAGGGGATGGCCCCTAACAGTCTCTGAGGGCCCTGTGTGGCTGGGCCTGGTCTCACCCAGTGCCCTGTCCTTGCCTGGCAGCTGGGGCCAGTGACCATGTGCCCTGGGCAGCCTCTGACTGACGCCTGTCTTGAGTAGTGGTCTCAAGTTTCCTGGTGTGAGTTTCAGGGGAATGAGTGTGGCGGGAAAGGGAGGTGGCAGCTGCTCTTCCATCAGCTGTGTGACTTGATGGGGAACCACTGGCAGCTGCTCGCTCAAGCTCCCCCTCTTAGGGCCGCTGTCCTGCTGCAACCTCAGGCTTCCACCCGGGGCCATCCACATGGTCTCTGAACGACCTAGGAACCAGCCAAGAGCGAGCAGTTGAACTGATCTCTGCTGCCCAGGGACTAGGAGATGCACAGCGGTGGAGCCAAGGTATGGGGCAGAGAAGGGCCTGTCGTGCACAGTCTGGCCAGTGCCTGTGGTGGCAGCAGCAGCCCTAGCCAGACGAGGCCTCAGCAAGTCCGGGTCCCCCATCTTCTGACAGTGCTGAGATCCAGTGGCATAGAGCAGGGCTTCTCAGGTGGAGTGATTGTGTCCTCAGGGCACACTGGACAGTGTCTGAAACACTTGTGCTGTCACTTCTGGGAGGGGGGCAGTGCTGGCGTCTGTGGGTACAGCCAGGAGTGCTGCCCAGGTGTCCTGCCGTGCACACAGCAGCTCGTAAGTCCACAGCAAAGGATGACCCTGCCTGAGGTCCTCCCAGCCGAGGCTATGGGCTGGCCGCAGGAGTTGCTGCGCCTGCCTGCCTGGGCCAGGCTGGGCGAGTGTGGGGAGGGCATGCTCACCTGCGGCGTCCCATGCATCCCAAGGAGCAGCCCGCTGAGCCCAGCCCATGGCGGAAGCCCAGGAGACAGCCCTGCCATGGCTGTTTCCCTCCCTGGCGTGCTCCCTACACCAGGCCTGTCAATCTTCATCCTCTGCTCCTTGGCCTGGAGCCCCACGCCCCAAGTTTACACCTGTTGAAACCCTGCCCATCTGCAGAGCTGGCTATGACACTGTTGGGGAAGCCCTCCCAGCCTTTCCCCTGTGATCCATGAGCCCCTGCCCTGGCTCGTGACTCCTCACATGGGCTGGGTGCACGGCAGACCCGTCCCTGGGATCGGCGTGTGCTGCTTTCCTGACCAGGCTGGCCTAATGACGAGGGCAAGGGAGTGCAGGCCTTGGCTTTTATTGAATCAGACCTGAGGACTCCCCAGCCTCTAGGGAACCCGCTCTTCGCCTGGCCTGGCTCCCAGATACGAGTGGCTGGCTGAAGGACACAGCCACACCTCTGTTCCTCCTGTCCCTCACAGGACCTCTCTTCCCTCCTCCCTGCCTATCCCCACCGCTGGCCCCGGCTGGATACTGGGCAGCTCCAATGTGAGGGCACTAACGCTAGGAGCTGCACCTTCGTCATTGGACCTGCCACCTCCTCAGCAGTCCTTCCCCTGCTGTCCCTAGTCATGGCACTTGAGTTCCTATGGCCTCTCTAGCACCCCAGAGCGAGTTCTTTTGCACAAGGGACAGGTGGCCTCCTCTGAGGCCCCCCAGGACCTCTTGGGCCTGAGCCCTAAGCCCTCAAGGCCACCAGGCTGGGAAAGGTCATCCTTGTCTAGGTCCATGCTGGAACTGGAAGCTGCGGGAGGAGAGAGAGGGGTCACATGAAGGGACTCAGGAAGCTGGTAGCCCACTCTGGGGTCCCCAGAACCTGACATCCTTCCGAACAGAAGGGGGGTGGGTAGGCTTCATCCTTACGGGAACCCTTGGAGGAAGAGGAAGTGAATAGGAGGGTTCTTGTTTTCCGTTTAGAAGCGGGGCAGTGGAGGCCTACTCAGGGAGAGAGTTGTCCAAGTTTCTTGCCTGCGTTGCAGGGCTGAGGCAGGAACCAAGGCCCCTCACCCCTGCCTAGATGTGCACTGCCACCACAAGACAACGTGGGCCATGTCCTGGGGACATCATGGTCTGGACCCAGCAGCGGGTCCCAGGGATGGGACAGACTCCTCAAGGTCTTGATTCCCCTGGGGTGTGATGTCACTGTGGGGTGTCCTGGGCACTCATCACCTGAGAACGGCCCACCTGAGTCCATATGAGTCCCCATCCCAGCCCTTCCCTGGGACCTGCCCCTCATGTCCCCATCCCTGCCTGGGCAGAGCTCACCTGAGTTTCCCAGGCTGTCCCTGGGCAGTTGAACTCCCAGAAGGGCTGAGTAGAGGCCGTTACCTGGCAGGTCCAGGGGCCAGGCTGTGTTTTCAGGCTGTGGTAGGCTGCCCCCAGCCAGGAGGCGGCCTAGCCAGTTGCTCTCGTGCTCACTGGTGGGTGGCAGGCCACCCGGCAGATAGAGAGCCAGGCCCCGGAGGTGGCGCAGCCGGAAGTTCTTGGGTGGGTCCCCTTGAGTGCTGGGACACTGCTGCTGGGTGCCCAGCCCCCCCTCGTAGATGTCAGGTGGCGTGTCGAGGCAGCTGGGGCGTCCTCGGGCCCAGCTCACTGCGTCTGCAGAGGGGAGAGCAGGAGGGTGGTGACCAGCCAACTGCAGTGGCATACAGGGGAGAGGACAGCCATGTGCCTCTAAGGCCAGCTCGTACATGGGCCCTGCCAGCCTGCCCAGCCTCTGCTTACCTGTTTGCCAAATGAGCTCAGCCCCTGCCTAGCCTTTAAGCCCCCTTCCTTCTCCCAGCCAACAAGAAGATCCACGAAGCCTGGGGCCTTGGCCCTAGATCTCTTTCAGGACTTCAAGTGATTCATCCCACCACTTTGTGTCCCCTACCCTAAAAAGGGTGTTCTCCCGGAATAGAAATTGCACAGTGGGTCCAGGAAGCAGTGACCAGCCCAGGGTCGTCTGGCCTGGACCAGGGGCCATTCCCCTCTCCCAAGCATGCATGTCTACCCTGGCGGCTTTGGGTCCAGGTTGGGATGGGAGGGCGTCTCTCCTCATGCACTCCTTCCCGTAGCCTGGCACCTTCTCTTATACGCAGCTCAGAGAACGCACAGACCAGGGCTTCCATAGAGAGCCTGTGTGGGGTATGGAGCAGCCAGGCCCTGTGTGCAGCAGGCTCTACTCTCCCTGGCAAGGGGGCGGGTCTGCAGGTCTCCTGGCAACTGGCTCTTGTGATGTCACAGGGAATACTCCCTGTCTTTCTGCTCCCCTAATTTGAGGGAGGGTGATGTTCTGGGCAGGGGAAGAGTAGGATGAGGGCAAGGGAAGGGGACAGAATTCTAGAGAAGGCCTGTGGTACCTCTGGCTTGAGACAGGCCACATAGACAGTCTTGTCTCTGGCAGGTTGGAGAGCTGAGGTGACTTCCTCATCTTGGGGTGGAAAAATGAGGGTCTCAGCGTGCAGACCTGTCGGCGTCTGCCTCAGGGCTTGGGTCTGGCTGAATCATGATCAGGGGGCTGCTGGTGAGGAAGAGAAAGAGGACGAGAAAGAGAAAGCCCTCCATCTTGCCAGGACCGGAGAGTTGGAAAGAACGAGACAAAGGGAGAGAGTAGAAATGGACACAGGCGGCCTGAGCCTAGGTAGCCCAAGCAGCTTGTGCCGCCCAGACGAACTGGACGTCTTTATAGTACACGGAGACATTGCACATGTATGTTTCACGACACGTCATGGATTGGTTGCCAGGTTACAGACAATAAGAAGCAATTAACAAAGCTATGAGGGCTTAAGTCACACCAGGCCAGGTGGTAATCCCATCAAGAGAAAATCTCATCTTCTTTTCTAAGTTTGTTTGTTTTTTTTTTTTTTGAGAGGTTTTCGCTAGCACGTGCGCTCGCCAGACAGACAGAGAGAGACATAGAGACAGAAAGCGAGAAATCACCCCCCAGGGGGATGGTCATACCACAATCCCTTCTCCATTCTCCTTTTGGGATGTTGAGGACGCACGCACCCGCGCCCGGCGTGAGTATTAAGCCACCGGGTCCGGGACATGAACCGCGGTCGACTACGTGGGAGTCCAGTGGTATAGCCATTAAGCTAACTGCTGGTTCCCGCTCTCATCTTCTTTTCTAATGCAGAGAACTAGCTGTAGGTGTGGGGAAGGAGCTAAAGAACTTCTCTATAAGGAGTGCACCACCACACCCAGAGAAGTCTAAAGAACCTTTCAGATGCAGAGCAGGGATTGGATTTCACTAATTGTTTCTTGAAGTCCATCAGATGTGTCTGTTGGAACACCCCTAGTAATTTCCACCCTTGCTCTGTCTGCAGCCAAGGTCAGGAAAAGACAAGTTACAAGGTTTTGCCAAACCCCAAAAGAGCAGGCGGTATTTGCACAGAGCATGTTCCCACACCTCAGATTCTGTCTTAAATGTGTCCCCACACAGACCCACAGACTCTATGAGACCTGGCTGCCTTGAACATGCTGAGAAGGTGGTTTGGGGTGACTGGCCAAGTCACTTAACTTTCTTAAATATCCGTGGTTTTATTTTTCCATGAGTGAATTACTGGATATGATGTGGCTCACGCCAACTGTTTGTAAGGATGTGGAGGAACCAAAATTCTCATATACTGCTAATGGAAATGTAAAATGATTCAATCACTTTGAAAAAACGGTTTAACAGAACCTTAAAAAGTCAAGCATTCCATTTTCTTTATTCAAGGATGACATAATCTTGGATACAGAAACTAAAGCATCTACATTTTTAAAAATATGGCTAGCTTGTGACATAGTGATTAAAGCAGCTGGATCCCACATGGATAGCTGCGTAGTTCAAGTCCCTGGTAGCTTGATGAAACACACCTGCTATGTGTGTATGCATTCCCAAAATCCTTCAAGAAGGGAGAAGTGGAGGAGAATGGATTGCAGCATGGTCATCCTCCATTTCCACTCTGGTCTCCAGTGAGTGCACACTCCCTCAGGCCACCAGTTCAAAAAAATTTTAAGAGATTTGTGGTATAGGGTGCATGTGCTCACTAGGGAGAAAGAGAGGCAGAAAGCAAGAAATCAGCCCCCAGGGAAATGGCCACAGTGCAATGCTTTCTCCCCTCATTCTCCTCTTGGGATTTCAGGTACACTTGCATACGTACCCAGCATGAGTTTCAAGCCACCAGGTACAGGACTTGAACCATGGTTGGTCATGTGGGAGTCCAGTGACATAACCATTACTCCATCTGCTGGCCCCTGGCAAAAATGTTTTTAAAATAAAATAGCAAAAGTCAGTAGAGCTAATAAATGTTAGCAAAGCCTCAGGATCCAAGATCAACACACAAGAATTAGTTGCACTTCCATTTACTAACAAAGAATAAAAAGAATGACAGGAACAAATTTAGCCAAGGAGGTATAAGATTCAAATACTCCAAAACATTGTGGAGAGAATATAAAAAATACTTAAATTAAAAAATATCCCATATTCATGAATCAGAGACCATATGGTCAAAATTATATACTCCCCTAAATAGTCAATGCGATCCTTATCAAGATCGAAGTAGCCTTTAGACAGTGTTTTAGTCAGGGTTCTCCAGAGAAACAGAATCAGGATATACAGATATGGATACAGAAGAGATTTGTTAGGGGAATTGTCTCACTGTCAAGTTGGAGAAGCAGCAAAACTAGTCATGGAATCCAATCTCAGTTTGAAGGCCTGAGAACTGGTGTGGGCTGGGGTGAGGGCTGGTGTACGTCCTTGAGTGCAAAGGCCAACAATATAAAAAGAGAGAGCCCTGTAGTTGTGGTTAAAGGGAACTGGGCCAACATGGCTGACCATGGTTTGAATCCTAGCCCTGGAGGCTTGAAAAACATGCAGGGCACATGTGCGTGAATGCACAAAATTCCAACAGGATGGAGAAATGGAGAAGAGATTGCAGCCTGATCATGCCCCACTTGAGGGGGATGGTGGTGCTTACTCCACTCTGTCTCTTTCCCCTCTCTGTACCCTTTAGCAATTAAAATAACAAATAAAAATTGTAAAAGGCATAAGAATCAGGAACTCCAATGTCCAAATGCAGAAGATGAATGTCCCAGCCTAAGAAGAGGAAGAAAATTCTTCCTTTCTCTCTCTCTCTCTCTCTTTTTTTTGGTTATAATTGGACTCTCAACAGATTAGATGGTATCTATCCACGTTGGTGACGGCAGTCTGCTTTACTCAGCTCACCAATTTGAATGTCAGTCTTTTCCTGCACACTTCACAGACATCTAGAAGTAATTTTTTAACCAGCTATCTAGGCCTCCCTTAGCCCAGTCAAGTTGAGATGTAAAATTAATCATCACACTCAGAAATGGAAAAGCTGATCCTAACATTTATGTGGAATTATAAGAGAACCCAAACAATCTTGAAAAAGGAAAACAAAGCTTGAGGACTCACACTTGTTGATTCCAAAACTTACTACAAACTATAATAATCAAAACAGTGTCTGACTGCTTTGAAAAGCTTATCTTTGCATTGTTAGCAGTCCCACGGCCTGCTTCCACCGCGTGCCTCCTCCATCGTGTGCCTCCTCCACCGCCTCTGGCAGCTTTATTGCCAGGGTCTCTGAACTCTCACTTTCTTTTTAATCTGTTGCATCAGATCACTGGCCTGCCCCCACCATGTCAGATGCGGGCCATGGACACTAGCTCCAAGATTACCACCAAGGACTTAAAGGAGAAGAATGTTGTGGAGGAGGCAGAGAATGGAAGAGATGCCCCCACTAACGGGAATGCTAATAAGGAAAACCAGGAGCAGGAGGCTGAGAATGAGGTAGATGAGGAAAAGGAAGAAGGCGGGGAGGAGGAGGAAGAGGAGGAAAAGGCGATGGTGAAGGAGAGGACTGAGATGAGGATGAGGGGGCTGAGGCAGCTGAGGATGACGAGTACGATGGTGTCAACGTCAAGAAGCAGAAGACCAGGACCAGCAGTTAGCGTAATGGCTATGTTGCGGGACTCCCATGTAGTCGACCGCTGTTCGCGTCCGGGACCTGGTGACTTAAAATTCACGCCAGGCGCGTGTGCGTGCATGCCCAAGATCCCAAGAGGAGAGTGGAGGAGAAGGGATTGCAGCGTGGCCATCCCCTGTGGGGTGTGATTTCTTGCTTTCTGTCTCTCTGTCTCTCTGGCGAGCGCACGCGCCCTGTGGCAAAAACCTCTCAAAAAAAAAAAAAAGGGCGCAGAAGACCAATGAGGATGACTAGACAGCAAAAAAAGGAAAAGTTAAACTTAAAAAAGGCCACCATAACCTAGTCACCCTCCATTTCCCATCTCAGAATCTAAACGTGATCACCTGCGAGTAGAGAGGCCTTTCTGCCCACCGCAGGCAGTGCCACCCGCAGATGACACGTGCTCTCCACCACCTAACCAAAATCACAACGTGAATTTGCAACAGGGAAGGAAAAAAGAACCAAAAACTTCCAAGGCCCTGCTTGCTTTCTTAAAAGGAAAATTTGTTTGTATTTTCTATTTACATTTTATATATTTGTACATACTGTTAGGGGTGAGTCATTTTTAATGATCTTGAATGACAAACCAGCCTTCGGAGTGTCTTCTGTCTTACTTCCAGCTTTACTTGTGGTGTGATCATGTTCACTATAATCCCAAAGGAGGAAAAACTCTTATAAATAAAGCAAAAACAACAACAAATTTATTTCGAGCATTCCAGTATCTTTTTTTTGCATATGTACTTAGCCATACTCTTAAGTAGTTGGTTTGAATGAGATGGTTGAAAAGCCAAAGATAAAAGGTTTCTTTTTTCCTTTTTTTGCCTATGAAGTTGCTTTTTATTTTCTTTGGCCTGTTTGATGTATGTGTGAAACACTGTTGTCTAACAATAAACTGGAATTAATGAATAGAAACAATGTGAAAGGCCCAGCCTAGGTGGTATAGTCCATAGTGTGCTGGACCACAGTGCTGAAAGCCAGGTGACTTGCTGTAGGTTTGGATTCTTGGTTTGGCCTGGAAAAAAAAAAATGCTGGGTGTGCACATGGGAGCCCAAGATCCTGATATGCTGGAGGCCTGGGATAAGATAGGATCATGGATGGGGGACCAGCAGTTAGCGTAATGGCTATGTTGCTGGACTCCCACATAGATGACCGCGGTCCGCGTCCCGGACCCGATGGCTTAAAACTCACTGGGCGCGTGTGCGTGTGTGCCCAAGATCCCGAGGGGAGAATGGAGGAGAAGGGATTGCAGCATGACTATCCCCTCTGGGGGGTGATTTCTTGCTTTCTGTCTCTATGTCTCTCTCTGTCTGTCTGGCGAGTGCACACGCTCTATAGCGAAAACCTCTCCAAAAAAAAAAATTTAACTCAGCTCAAAGACTTAAATATAAATGCTAAAACAATAAAACTTTTAGGAGAAAACAGAAGAGTAAATCTTGGATTTGGTAATGGAATCTTAGCTATAACACACAAAAAAATAAATAAAGTGGACCTCATTAAAATTAAACACCTTCATGCTATGATAGACACTATCAAGAAGTTAAAATGGAATGGGAGAAAATATTTGTCAATCATATATC